AGGAGCTCTGCCAGTCCCCTGCACCCACAGGGACCCGTCCAGCTCACTGGGGTGCCCCACTGTGGCATGCGGAACCACGCTTAGCCCCGGAGCGAGCCCTTCCTCTCTGCTTTCTGCGACCAATTCTCACACCAAAATTCACCTCCACATTTTGAATTTGGTCACGAGGATTTGGTTTTCTGCAGCATCCAGGGAAGTGCCTGGACCTGCCAGAATTTCTCCTGGATGCTAAAGGATCGAGGGGTGCAGGCTGAGGTCCCCACTGTGTCTCCTGTCAGAGCCAGCCAGCGATGGCCTCCACTGGTGCAGTCAGGCTGCTGGGGGTGGGTGCTGCTGGGGGTGGGAGGGCACGGCGCCGCTGCACATCCCAGGAGCGTGTGGGATTTCCAGATGTCTGCCTCTAATCCTTGGGGGTCTGCTTAGGATTTGTATGTGATTAGAAGGGCGATTTAACAGCCTGCTAGCTGTTGGCTCTGCCGAGGGAAACGTGCCGTTTCCAGTCCATGCTGAAATACGTCTTTGCCACGAAACTGGGGTGAGTTTTGTACCTTACAGAGCCAGAGCTTGCCAGAAGGGTCACTTATGCTTCTGAGATGGGCTTTGGACCTTGTGGACTACCTGGAGGCTCTGCCAAGGGCTGATGTTCCTCTTCAGAGGGTTGGGCTGCCAGGATGTGTCCCTGGTTGTCCCTCCTGTCTGGCTGAGCCCAGGGATGGGACCTTCCCCCTCGCTGCCCTGCTCACAATTCTGTAAAACACATCGTTAATCTCCTGCTTGATATGCAGGATGGGGTTGGATCTGACCTTCCCATGGGAAGGGAGGAGAGGAGCCCATCATGAATCCCAGGCAGCAAATTTGGTTGGATTCAGCTGAGCAGAGCCCCACAGCTGCTTCTGGGGCTTGTGTTAGATGATGTGCTTTAATCGACCTTGGCTGACCTTGGATGCTGCTCTGAGGGTAAGCCCAGGCTCCTCAGAGTGCCCGAACCCGCCGGGGCAGCCGGAGCAGAGGCTGTGCTGGGATGGGGGGCTCCCTGGCAGCTCGTGGGACTAAACGCATCCCGAGGAGGATGCAAGTGGGGCCCCTGCCATGCACGCTCTCCCTCTTGAAAAAGAAGGGTGTTTCCCCCCAAAACCGTGATGTTCCAAAGCAAAGTGGGCTTTGTCGGGTGGTTCGCAGCACTCTGGTGGAGGATGTGAGGTCCTGTGGCTCTTCAAAGCCCGTTCTTGAACGTAGTAATGATCATGGAGGAGCATCCAGCCAACCTCGCGGAGGGAACGCTTCCAAATGAAACCCCCACTTCAAAGAAATGTCAAAATGCAGCTCCCTCCTCGCAGAGCAGAATTGCCTTGGCTGTTAAATGTCAGCGTTTCCCAGAGAACAGCCAGGCTGTTCCAGCTGGAGCTGGGAGCTGCGTTAGCACCCGGCTGAGATTTTCCTGCAGAAAGCATTCCAAAGGTGCAAATCTTCCTCGGCAGGAGCAAACGGAATCAGTCCGGTGCCATTCCTGGAGGCCGGGCTTCCTGCCCGCAGGCAGCTGGGGCTGAGTTAGGCCTCAAGCTTATGGTTATTTTTATTGCTGTGTTTATTACCTCCTAAATTAACCTCCTGGAGTCTGGTGCCTTCCAGTGGCAGGGAAGGAACCTTGAGCAGCCTGTTGCCACTGCTCTTGGCACCCACCACCATGCAAGGTGCGCACCGTGGCGGGAGAGAGATGCTAATTTCAGGCTGGGTACCCGGCAGGGCTTGGCTTACGGCCCCGCACGTGCGCACCACCCCTTGGGCTGTGTATGCTGCTGACCCGCTTTCTCTGCTGGGATCCTGCTGCTGCGGAGGATGCTCTGCCCCGGCTCTGTTAGGGACCAGGAGTAGGGAGCAAGCGCCTGGCAGCTCTTCTGCGTACCCAGATAAATAACCCAGCGCTGCAGGGAGTTGGGAGCAGCACGGAGCAGCAGGATCCCTTGTGAAGGCCAATGGCTGGATGTCCCGAGACCTTTAATAGTATTTTCAGCTAATAAATGGCCCACGATGGCAGAGTTATTAATTAATGAGTTGGAGTGCCAAGACCTGGCCCTTGGCAAGTTAAGAGCTAACACCCGCTGAGTGACGAAGCGTAGGAGGGGAACCCGGCTGTGGTTCAGCTTGTGGGAGCGATGCCTGTGTCGCCGACCGGCTTCTGCGTGGGCCTGGGTGATCCTGTGCATCCTGGGGTCGTTCACCTGCTTTCTCAAAAGAGCCGCTCCCAGATGGGAGCTTGTTTCTCTGCAAATGCCATGGGAAAGGGGATCCCTGTGGCCACAGTGATGTTCTCGGTCTCAGCTAATCTTTGCCTGGCCCTAATCGCCTGCTGCTTGATCTCCTGGGGGTTTGGGTGCTGTCTGGGACACTGTGGTGCAGGGCTGGCCCCAGGCACTTCTTCTGGGAGAGGGTGTGGTGCTGGGAATGGTGTGGGGGCTGCTAGGGCTCCTTCCTGGGTGCAGCTCCATGCTGGGCAGGATCAGTAGGGCTGGGTCGGGTGGCAGAGTGAGCCCCAGGGCAGGCCCAGCCCCTTGGGGAGTGAAGACCCCCCAGTGCGGGTGGGGTACCTTGTCCTTGCCAGGCTGCTGTTTCTGGAAAGCTCAGCCCTAGGCAGGGTGGGGGCTTGAACTTTGGAGCACCTGGGGGTGTGGGTGCCCTCCTGCCCCTGGGAATTGCCGGAGGGTTACTCATAGGGTGAGGTGTTACGCGAGGATCCCGGAAATCACCGAAGTCACCGAGGAGCTGAGTGCGAGGTGCTTCTGAAGCGCTGGTGACCCAGATTTCGCAGGCTCCCTGCGGAGATGCATCCCTGAGCGCAGCAGGCTGGGACTCCCGGGGAGCATCCCCCGTGTGAGCCCCCAAGCCCTGTCCTGCTCCCAGGACTTGCTGCAGTCGGAGGCAGGGTCTGCTGGGGACAGGGCTGCCTGCACCACTGTCTCCTTTGGGATCGCTGTTCTGGGAGCGAGGATTTCTTGTTGGCCATCGGTAATGCCTTGGCTTTCACACCTGGGAGTGAGGGATGGATTAACACCCTTCTGCCCTCTGAGGGGAGAGGGAGGATGGGTGGGGGTCAGGATGAGATTGACTTTCCTGGTGTCCACTCTCTCGCCAAGTCCCACTAGAGGCCTCTTGTTGACTTCAGCGGATTTTGGATCAAGCCCTCAAACATTAATGGTAGCCACTCGTAAATCATTGCTGCGCCACCTGCTTGTCATGTTCCTGCCCACAATGACTATGTCAAGTGTTTTTAGAAGCTGAGCTGGCACGGGCTGTTTGTCACATCTGGACAGCATCGTGGGAGTGTGGAGCTGGCCGAGCCACAGTGTGTGGTTTTTCCTGGCTGGGGGAGTGAAAGCCAAACAAATCCCTTCTGCTTGGGGTCAAGTGGTTCTCCTGGGGCAGCACCCTGAGTCTGGATGGGTCCTGGGAGCCCGTTTGCAGTGGGAGGGCTCGGGCATGGCGCAAACAGCAGAGAAAGGCTCTAGGGTATCCTGAGTGTGTGGGGACAGCGCGTCAGGGCTTCATCTGTCGAAGCCTCAGTAGATCAGAGCTGCATCTGCCCCGTTGTCCTCCAAATCTCTACGGAGGTGTCGCTCACCCTGTGGCCTTTCGTGCTGAAGGTTAACTGCTGCCTTTCCGGGCAGCGAGGCTGGGTGCTGGGGCTGCCTCCCCATCTTCTCCCGTTCCCTGCAGCCCAAGCCTGAGAACGCCATCACCATCGCGGTGTCGTCACGAGCGCTTTTCCGCATGGAGGAGGAGCAGAAGATTTACAATGAGCAGGGGGTGGAGGCCTACGTGAAATACCAGCTGGACCACGAGAATGAGCCCTTCCTCCCTGGGGCTGCCTTCCCCTTCGTCAAGGTGAGCATCCACGTGCCTAAGCTGACTCCGCACTGCGGTCCTGACCCACACGTGGTGGGGTGGGGGGAGTGCTGTGGGGGAGGGATGGGAAATGGGCGGTGTGGAAATAGGGATGCAGCCACGGAGAAAACAGAGGTCAAACAAACCTTGGTGAGTGATGTACTCCTTCCAGGACTAAGGAAACGCTGAATTTTCCAAATTGGCAGTTGAGCCCAAGAGTTGAAGGAATCGTCTTGCTGGATCATATTTCAAGTTTCCCTTCAGGGAACTCTCCTATCTTTTTATTACAACTTACCACTTCTTTCAAATCTGCTGAATTCAGCCTTGCTGCAGAGTTGGCCAATTTCTAATTCTGACGTGTGGAAATGAGGCATTTCAAACTTTAAAAGTATTTTCCAGTTTCTGCCCCAGTTCCACTGGATTTAGGGTGGTTTTGTGGGCTGGCCCTCACTGGAGTGATCTCTTGCCCGATCCCAATGAATAAACTAATCCACTTGGTGAGAAGAGTGGAATTTGGTGTTTGGAAAGAGAGCGGGTCTTTCCCCCCCAAGTCAGTCTCTCTTTTCCTCAGCTAAAGCCGCTTGCTGATGTGAGCGTGGCTCGGGGTGTAGTTGGAGCCAGGCCAGATCCCTGGTTCTGGTGAGCAGCGAGAAGGGGGTCAGGGCCATGCCTGGGGCTCCCTGACACCCACCTCCCTCACCCCGGGGCGCGGCAGGCGCTGGAGGCGGTGAACGCGCGGCTGCGCGAGCTGTACCCCGACAGCGAGGAGCTCTTCGACATCGTCCTCATGACCAACAACCACGCCCAGGTTGGGGTTCGCTTGATCAACAGCATCAACCACTACGGTAAGCTGAGAGCAAAGCCCTCCCGCGCGTGAGTGCTGATGGCTTTTGGGCAGAGCGTGGTAAGGAGGCGCTGGCTCATGTCACTCCCCCCCAAACCACACGCTGAGCCTGCTGCTCCCAACTTCCTGGGCTTTGAGTGGGAGCTGACCGGTGGTGAGGATGCTGCGGCTGACGGCCACGCTGCGGAGCGGCAGTCCCAAAACTAGCCCCCATCCTGCCGACTCGAGGGAGGCCACAGGGGAGCAGCGTCAAGGTGTGTCTGGGGGCCGGTCCGGCTCACCCTGGGGTCCGTCTGCCCTCAGATCTCTTCATCGAGAGGTTCTGCATGACGGGAGGGAACAGCCCCATCTGTTACCTCAAGGCATATCACACCAACCTCTATCTCTCCTCTGATGCTGAGAAAGTGAGTGGGGCCATTGAAGAGGGTGAGTCTGGGGTCCAGCTTGGGGGGAGCAGTGGGAGGAGCCTGGAGCCCTTAGGGGGTTGGTGTCAGGAGCGTTAGCTCCAACGTCCCTGTGTCAGTGTGCAGCTGCGGTCTGCCTTGTCCCACATCCCATCCTTGATGCTCCAAAGAGCCTCTGGTTTCCATTGAAATAAGGCTTTCCTCGAGCTCCGCAGCTCTTTCAGAGCAGAGGCGCTGGTTTTCCCCATCAATTCTTGTATACCAAGGGACGTTTGTCATCTGGGGACTTGGTTTTGCTGTAAAATGGCCCTGGGGCCAAGCTGCAGGCACGCCTGGGTGTGTGTATTTCCTTGGGGTGTTTGCTTCCAGCCTGTCTCGTGTCAGATAAGCCATGAGGCTGGGTCCCTGAGTAACTGCCACCTCTTGCCTCACGCCTTCGCTCCGCAGGGATTGCTGCAGCCACCATCTTCAGCCCCAGCAAAGACCTGGAGGTGTCGGAGAACCAGCTGCGAGTGGCGTTTGATGGTGACGCCGTGCTCTTCTCTGATGAGTCGGAGCAGATTGTGAAGGCTCACGGCTTAGACATGTTCTTTGAGCATGAAAAGGCTCACGAGAACAAGCCGCTGGCACAGGTAGTGCTGGGGTGCAGCCAGGAAAGGCCTCTGGGAGAGGGACAGCCTGCAGGGATGCTGTGGCCTCTGGGAACAAGCCAGGGGTCAGCCTGTGGAGTGTGTGAGATAGGGGGGTCAGCAGCCTGCTTCTGCTGGCCCATGGGATGGTTGCAACCGTCCCCTCTGCTGTTGTTCGTGGGGGCTCAGAGGGAGGAGGGGTTAGCCAGCCTGTCTGGCTCTGCTGGGATATCATGGAGGTCTGCAAGGTGGCGGTTTCTTCTTGCTTTGGCAGGGACCCCTGAAGGGCTTCCTGGAGGCCCTGGGGAAGCTGCAGAAGAAGTTCTATTCCAAGGGGCTGCGGATGGAGTGTCCCATTCGCACCTACCTGGTCACTGCCAGGAGCGCGGCCAGCTCAGGGGCCCGGGCCCTAAAGACTCTGCGCAGCTGGGGCCTGGAGACGGATGAGGCGTTGTTCCTGGCCGGAGCTCCCAAGGGACCCCTGCTGAAGAAAATCCGTCCTCACATCTTCTTTGACGACCAGATGTTCCACGTGGAGGGAGCCAAGGAGATGGGCACTGTCGCTGCCCACGTCCCCTACGGCGTTGCCCAGAGGCACAAGCAGGAGAAGCAAACCCCGAACAGCAAGTAGGAGCTGGCTGGTCCCACGGCCCCCGGACCGCGGCACAGCCGTCACCCCATGCGCCGCCCGGGGTTGCAGGCTGAAGGCAGAGAGCGTTCGCAAGGCTGTGCCCCGGTGGGGTCCTTGTCGGGGGCACAGATGGAGGAGGGGGCTGACGAAAGGCTTTCTTTCACCCCTGTACTCGTTGAGTGTCGTGGTGTCGTCCCTGTTCCTCGTGGGGCTGGAGGCTCCGGGCAGCCCC